CCTACTTCACTATGTGGGTCCGACGACCTTCGATATTCTATGTGACCGACTTGACCCAAAGGATCCGTTTGGGCAGACCTACGAGATACTAGTCCAAAAGTTGGAGGAATTTTACGCGCCAGCGCCATTAGAAATCGCTGAAAATTATAAATTTTATCAGCGGAAGCAAGCAGACGGAGAGTCGGTGCAGCAATTTGTAGCAGCCTTGCACAAGTTGAGCATTTATTGCAAATTTGGGGATTACCTCAAGACAGTATTTTCCAATAATATACGAGAAGAAAATTATCTCGATGAGCGAACACTCTCAATTCAAATACACACTGTATTCTGCGTGCAGGTATTACCGCTTACTGCTTACCGCTACCGCCAGTGATACCTGATACCAGAACGAGGTCTCTTCTTCTTCCTCTTAATATTTAAATGGCCAATATGATCAGGGGTAGATCAATATATTCGGTTGTAGATTGGCGCCATCATTATTTTAAAACAAACCGTGTCCCTATGCACACGATATTTCTTTTTTAATAGAAGTTCAAAGTTTTTATCCCCAAAAAGATCGATATCGAGGCAAGAATCGAGTCGTCGCGCATTTTTTATATGTAGAACATCTATTTCGGTAAGTGCAGCATTGCATTCTGTACATATTAGAGAGTATATCATATTAGTATTGATCAGCATTTTTTCGGCCGGAATATACAATCGCCGTATTTGTTACTTTCCTTGTGTTGGGGCAAAACCGGGTACTTACACATCTCATACAATGAAAAGAGGAAGAACTGTTATCTTGACTTTGTGTCTCTACAAAGAACAGTTGGAAACGAAAACTAACACTCAGAAAAAGAAACCACTAAAAAAAAAGTTTTTTGAGACCCTTAAAGTTAAAAAGTTAAATAAGAAAATCCTGCAAATCCTGCAAACAAGAGGATATTTATATTTGTGATTTTTGTCAATAGAATACATCTTTATATTGTATTTTGATTAAAATAAATCTTGATAATCTTGATTCACGGTGTTTTGCAT